TGGGGAACAATTATTATCTGTCCACCACTAAGACTCAGAGGGCATGGTAGGAAGTTCCCACAGGGGATCAGGCAGTCCCTCTCCAGGACCCCAAATGGAGTATGGATGACGAGAGGAATGAATGGGAGAAAAATCATTTTATATACTACCTACTAGAGGGGCTAAGGAAGGCCAAGGTAAAGGACCTTAATTACTCCCAGTTGGCAGCTATTCATTAGGGAGAGACTGAGCCTCCAGTAGCATTCCTTCAATAGTTGAAGGACGCCATCAACTATACTGTGTCCAATATAGTCAGGGACACAGAAGTAGGAGATCCTCCCAAAGGACAAAAGCTGGCAGCTAAACCAAGCAAGTCATTGGATCAGTTGGTCCAGGCAGCTACCACTGTATTCTATAATAGGGACCTGGAAAAGGAAAGGAGAAAAGACAAACGATAGGAGGCACTGATCATGGCCACATGGGTGACTCCCTCAGGAGCAGGCCTTAACCTGAGGGCCTGTTTCTTGTGCAGACAGGAAGACCATTTCAGGAGGGAATGCCCCCAGAGGCAAGAGCCACCTCTGGAACCCTACCCCATCTGCAACGGGAACCACTGGAAGGCTTGATGCCCCCCAAACCAGACAGGGTCATATTCATCACCTTCCAGGGAGCAATGATGGGTTCCGGGGCCTCCCATTCAGGCTCCTGTAACCGTGGTTAAGACAGAGGAGTCCCGGGTCATGCTCATGGTCAAACAGTGAAAGATCAGCTTCCTACTGGACACAGGTGGCCACTTAACAGCCTTACCCCCCCACCCCTGACCTAGGTCCTAAAATAAACTGTTCTGGGGCATATCGGGTCAGCCCCTAGAATGCTATTTCACTCACCCTCTTTTGCCTGTTCGTGGGAAGATCTCCACTTCTGTCACTCCTTTTTGATAGTTCCCAAGACAATGACCCCACTTTTGGGGTGAGACTTATTATCCCAATTAAAGGTCCAGTTTCTCTTGCCTCCTGGAGAATACTACTGCCTGCCCTTAATAGAATCTCAGGTGGACCTGGCCATATGGACAGATAGCCAGACAGTGGGGAGGAACTGAACAGCTTCCAGCCATTGTATACCTCAAAGACTCCTCAATTCCCTCACCAGAAACAGCGCCCACTGAGACCAGAAGTCAGAGAGGGCCTGATTACCATTATCAAGGGACTTAGAGCAGGAGCTCCTGGTTAAATGCTCTAGCCTCCACAATACTTCTATTTTGGGGGTTGGTAAAAAAAAAACCTATGAAACACCCACAGCTAATCTCATACTTGTGAAAGAAATCCCAAGATCTCCATACAATCAAGAATGAGAAAATCATGTCCACTCTTACTACTTCAATTCAACATTTATTGGATATTCTAGCTAGGGCAGTTATACAGGAGAAAGTAATAAAATGCATCCAGATTAGAAATGAAGAACTAAAACTATGACTATTTTCAGATGGCATGACCACATATACACACAGAAAATTCTAGGGAACTCACTAAAAAGCTATTAGAACTAATAAAAGAGTTCAACAAAGCTGTATGATACAGGACCAGCATACGAAACTCAATCATGTTTTTATACACTTGTAATGAACAATCCAAAAATAAAAATAACAAAAAAAAATTCCATTTACAAAAAATAAATAAAAAATAAAATACTTACAAAGTGATAGAGCATCTGCCTGACACACACATCACTTGTGCTAAGGATGTGGAAAACTTAGAAGCCTTATACATTGCTATGGGGAAATGCACAATGGCATAGAAAGTTTCTCCCTTCTTCAAAATGTTAAACATACAGTTATCATGTGACCCAGCAATTCTCTTCCTTGGTACATTTTCAAGAGGACTTAAAATATTCTCACAAATACTTGTGCGTAAATGTTCATGGCTGCATTATTAATAATAACAAGAAAGTGGAAACCAATAAACTAATTAACTAATAAATGGATAAATAAAATGTACTGATACAAGGAAATATTATCCAGTTATAAAAAGGAATGAAGTATTGATACATGCTGCAATATGAATGAACCTCAACATCATTCTGCTAAGTGAAAGAAGCTGAGACAAAAAGGTCACACATTATATGATTCTATTTATGCAAAATGTCCAGAATAGGCATATTTGTAGAGATAAAAAGATTAATAGTTGTTTGGGTCCAGGGATTGAGGGGAAATGAAGAATGACTGCAAAAGGATACATGGTTTCTTTTCAGGGTGATAAAAATGTTCTAAAATAGCAGTGATAGTTTCACAATTCTGTGAATATAGTAAAAACCATTGATTGCATCCTTGAAATGGGTGAAGTGTGTGATATTTGAATTACCTTTCAATTAAGTTGTTAAAAAAATCAAAGGGAAATAATTGGAAATGCTTTTGCTCCATGTATACTTTGCTGTTTCTGTAACTCTAAAAACAAGTCATTTAACATAGTTTATTAAAATGTCTGATTTTCTGAGCACTTTATGCAACCACAATAAATAATGTTATAGCAGTTGGCTGCTCCACTTTCATGCAGAATAAGTACATTTGCTGGGAAAAAAGAAAGAGTGAAAAAAGTATTACAAGTCCTCTCAATAGATTCTCAAGTCTCCATCTAGATATACATTTAAAAAAGGGGACCAGGAACTAGAGAAAAGGTTAGATTAAAAAGAATTAACCTAGAAGGTAACACCCACGCACAGGAAATCAATGTGAGTCAATGCCCTGTATAGCTATCCTTATCTCAACCAGCAAAACCCCTTGTTCCTTCCTATTATTGCTTATACTCTCTCTACAACAAAATTAGAGATAAGGGCAAAATAGTTTCTGCTGGGTATTGAGGGGGGAGCGGGAGGGGTGGAGTGGTGGTAAGGGAGGTGGTGGGGGGCAGGGGAGAAATAAACCAAGCCTTGTATGCACATATGAATAATAAAAGAAAAATGAAAAAAAAAAAAAAAAAAAAAACAGGTCCTTTCTGGGGGTGGGTACTAGTAGGAAGGGGGAGGATATAAGGAAAGGGTGTAGGAGGGTGAATGTAGTGGAAATATTATGTACTCATATATGAAAACGATGGGGGGGTGAATTCAATACATTTTTAGGAACTTTTGTAAATGTCACTATGTACCCACAGTACAATAATATGATAAAAAATAAAATAAATAAAAAACTACAGTCAGTGATATCACTTTATATAGTCAAGAGATATGCATATCAAGAACCACAAAAATGTTCCTGCATTTTGATTATTAATTCCATTCATGGAAACTAATCTCAAAAAAATAAGAAAAACAACAGGCACAAAAACCTAACATTACTATTAGTATAACAAATCTCTGAATCAGCACTGCCTAAGAGTTAAACAGTTTTATTTAGTCCAATTGATATTACTTCCATAGCAAGAAGTTCTCAGTGAAAGAAATATAGCACTAACTTACATTCTTATTTAAATTACGAAACAGCACTCTGAATAACACTGCTCTAAAGAACTTAGGTGTCCAAAATAAGGACATGATTAGGTAACCTGCAATATATTAACGCAATGAATACTGTATGAGCATAAAGTGAAATAATAACTAACAATTATTCAGCTCTTAATATATGCCAGGCATTGTACACTGTACATTACATTGCACATTAACCATAGGTTCTATTATCATCTTGTTTTTACAGATTAGAAAATAAAGCTCAGAGAGGTGAAATGCTTGCTAATAGGAGGTGGGAAGTAAAATTGAGACAAATTCAGACATATATAACTCCAAACCTTAATCACTTTATTACATTACCAACACAAAACTGAATATAAACTACGATTTTAAGTATGTATATATACATGAGGATAAAAGTTTAAAGAAAAAATAAGACAAGTGTCAGTGGCTTACACCTGTAATTCTAGCTACTTGGGAGGCTGAGATCAGGAGGATCAGAGTTTATGAGACCCCCATCTCAACCAAGAGCACCTGCCTAACAAGCAAAAAGCCCTGAGTTCAAACCCCAGTTTTGCAAGAAAAGAAAGAAAAATGGAAATTAATCATTAAGATAAAGAGTCTAGGAGAAAAAATTTTTAAAGTCTTTTCATGATCTGGAACTATTTTAAGAATAAATGTAAAAATAACTCAAATAGTAAATCCAAGATTATAAATAAATTGACATTTATGATATTTAACAATGTCTCAATTGCATATCTCACAAAGCAATTTTGTAACCATTCATTTGATTTTGTAAAAATATTACTCTTAGAAGACATATTTAAAAGAGTGATTTTCAAACTTGAATATGTATTGGAATCCTCTGGAGGAGGATTATGAACCTGAGGCCCACCCCCAGAGTGTCTGATTTAGCAAGTCTGGGTTGGGTCCCCAAACATGCATTTCTAACAAGTTGCTGGGTAATGCTGATGCTACTAGTCCATGGACCATATTGTGAGAACCTGAGCTTTGAAAAGAAATACTAGTATCATCCTAAATTTAAATACCACTGCATGAATCAATTAAAAATAAACTTGATACATCTCCTCCAAATTATTTTAATGTGCTAAGTAGGTTCTTTACAAAATGAACATAGGCCATTAGATGAAAATTATAACATAGTTTGCTTATTCTTCTTAAGAATACAAGTCATTATTTTTGTCCAAGATCAAGAGCCATAAACTTTCTATGGAGGTCAAACTGTTATAGTTTAAATAGCTATTGATATTATCACCTAGCTGGGTATCTCTAGACAAAACTAACAAAATTATTTTAAACTGCTAAACTCTCATTAAGGTTTTTGGATATTAGTCCTGTTAAGAAGACTAACAAACTTAAAGTAAAGAATAGTCACAAGTACTAAGAAGAAACCATTCATACAAGCAGACAGTAGCATAGGTAAGTAACCTCCATATATCAGTTGACAAATAGCTTCCAATAGTGAGAATATAGAAGTGTTGTCTCAGCTTCTCTAGAATAATTTGACTCCAATCCAGAATTGTTATTATTGTACACATTAATGAAACTATGCCATTAAAACATACCTATGTTTCTGACCATGATTCCTTTCAGTTCATCCACTTGGGCTTGAGTTTCCATCACTCTGTCTAGGCCCTTATTCTCCGAGTGATGCTTCTATTAAGAAAATAAGTTTTAAATGATAGTACCCAGACATTATTTACAATAGGAAAACAAAAAATAAGAGGAATGATAATTTATATGGAGGAATACTAGAAAATTGTATCTGTATTATATAAAGATACATGTCACTTTACTGGTTATCAGACCTAAGGGAAAATACTGAAAGCAAAAAGTACTTCCATATGAAAAGTAAATATTATAGTATTAAAATATCATCTTATTTTAAATAAAATTAACTGTAATGTATTATACTGTACCAAATACAAATCTGAGATTTTGGGGCAAAAGTGAGGGGATATGGAATCTATGCTCACACAAGGAAGGAAGGAGAAAAAGGAAGACTGTAGTTGGGGCAGGGGGGGACAGGACAAGGAAAAGGCACCCTAAGTTGTTCCTCACTTCTTAGGTGTAATGAGACAGAAGCATACTCAGTTTCTTAGCATCTTTTCTTCTATCTCCTAAGATCACAGCATGCTTTCTATTTTCACTGGTTCCTCATAGGATCTAGAATTGAAGTTACTGATGATAATACATATGTTTAAATTATTTTCCATAGCGAAGGACTGTGGCGTATTTAATACTCAATGCCCCAACTACTTCACTATGCTAAAGGCTTCCAATAAAGAATATTATTCAATCTACCCCAAAACTATGATGAAGATGCTTTCTCTCTGCTTACAGATGAGGAAACTGGCACAGGTTGTTCAAAGAGTCACACAAAACTCTGGAGCTAATGACAAACTGGCTAATTTGAAAGTTTTGCTGCCACCTGACCCTATTTGGTTTTAACTGTGCACTGGTATACTTTTTTTGATGGTGTTTTGAACAGCTTCACAAATATAAACATTTCCCAGTGGGGAGTACAAAACAAACCACTGCTTGAATAATAAAGGCTTATAAGTAAGTAATTTAAAAGGACTTCATTTCCAGAGGAATGAAGTATACGTATACATCCACATATACTCAAAAAGAATATTAAAAAGTACACTTATAGAAGAAATGAAAGTATTCAATTACAAGTGCCTTTATTCCACATTCACAATAAAATCATAACTAGAAGTGATTATCTTTGTACTCAAATAGTCTCACAGATAAAAGGTAAGCTTTTAAAGGGTGTTCAACATCAATAGTCATCATGAAAATGCAAATTAAAAACACAATGAGATAACACTGCAAACCCATTAAAGTAAATAAAATTAAAGACAGACACAAGTGTTGGCAAGGATGCAAAAAACACTGGAACTACTGTTGAGAATGTAAAATGGTACAATCACTTTGGAAAAAGGTGTGATAAATTACATATCACTTACCATGTGACCCAGCAATTCCATTCCTAGGTATTTATCAAAGAGAAATAAAAACATGTCCTCACAAGGACTGGTATGTGTAGATTCATAGCAGCTTTACTCATGACAGTTGAAAACTGAAAGCAACCCAAATATCTAGGAACAGGTAAATGGATAAAGCAATTGCGGTTGTATGCATGCAACACTACTCAGCACAAAAGGAAACAGACTTCTAATTCATATAACATGGATGAATATCAAAAACCTTACACTGGCCAAAACAAGCAAAACACATAAGAATACATACTGTATGATTCTATTTATAGGAAATTCTAGAAAAGACAAAACTAATTTACAATGACAGAAAATAGACAGTGGTTGCCAAAAGCAGAGAGTGGGGACTGGACTGACTGGGAAGAGACATAAAGGAAAATTTAGGGCAATGGAAATGCCTTCTGTCTTGAATATGGTGGTATTTTAAAAGGATATAGATGTATACATTTATTTACATGCATAAGTAAAACATCACTGAGATGGCAATTAGGGATTTATCTAGATAAAATTTCAAATGATTAATTTGAGGTGTTCCAAAATATAAACATACCTCATGAATGAGTAGAAAGTTTATGTACAGGTTAAAAAGCCATTTGGCCATGTTCAGTGGATTTAAGCAATAGCTAGGCAGTCGAAATATATGACTTTCATGTTCTTCCTAATCCTGAGATGCTCTGACCATTGCTGATAATGAAGATCACCAATTATTATCTTTTAACCCTAAAATATCCCCTCTACAGTTTTAATAAGGAGGTTTTATTATGTTGGCTTATAATAAAACAATCAACAAAGTATACTGCAGATCAGGACCCCATATATTCATGGTGATTTAAGGTAATAAAAAAGAAAATATAAATCAAAACACTATATCCTGAGAAAGACCTTACCAGCTGCGCAGCCAAGACACTTGAGAATTCACTATTCATGGCATATGGAAGTGCTGTCTGTGCTCTTGAACCATAAGTTGTCTGGAACCTCTTCTTTACCTCATTCAGGAAATTGAAGGCTCGGGAACGTTCAAAATCCTGAAAAGCAATGAACACAGAACTCATATTTACAAAGTAAACAAAGGTGACACAGCAGGTTAACAATAATAAGTACTGAGCAATGACTATATGAGAGGAACAAGCACTGTTCCTATTTCACAGATAAGGAAGAAAAGACTGAAAAGTCACTAACTTGCAAATGTCAAGTAAATGAAAGAGTTGAGCATCAAATCCAAACATGTCTGCTTACTGCTAACTGAAGATAATGGTACCTAGCTTATCGATGTCTTGAGGTTAGGAATTGGATTTTAATTCCTCCCTATCTTTCATAGGATCTATTAGAAGGTCCAGAATAAGATGTTTGGCAAATGCATAATAGTGCAGTCTTTCACATACAAAAATGCTATTGACATAAACTTTGAATTTGTATTTTCCAATAGTGGTGATACATTTGAAAAGCTCAAGTGACATGCTTGTCTAGTTCCAATCAGTCAAAAAGTGGGTGTGATTGTGTATGTCTATCAAATTATAGCTCAAGAAAGATTCAACCCTGAACATTCCAGATCTTTTGATATTTTTCATCTACTCCAAGCTCTTTCACATCAGTCATTTCAGATATAGCTGGACTTTTTTTGTGATTGTAGAAAATATTGTAAAACCATGGCTAAAAATTTCACCTAAGATGTTTAATCTAAACAAAGGATTCTTAAACTGGAGTCAATGGCCAAAGTTCAAGGGGTACTTGTACCTGGATAGAAAACAACTTGCATTGTTATCTTCACCAGTCTTTAAATTTCAATTATAAATGTAGAGGAGTAGTAAGAAGTTCCTTTAACTTTGTTAAAAAAAAAGGTACCTTTGAATTTTTTTTCAGGTACCATCCCAGTAATTGATATATTAAGGAAGTTTATACTCATCACCATTTCAAAACTATTATTATTACTATTATTAGACTCATGATTACATCTTGTTGATGAGATGTTAATAAACAAGCATATTCATGAAGACACAAATATAAAGTGGGCCCTGTTCAGGGGTGGATTCTAGTGTGAGAGGGATGAATGGAGAAGGTGAAGAAGGGCAAATATGGTTAACATACTTGTATGAAAATACTTAAACATACTTGTATGAAAACAGAATAAGAAAACCTGTTGAAATTGTTTTAAGAACTTGGAGAAGGAGATAAGGGAGAATAATGGAGAATGATGGAGGGGTGAATCTAACCAAGGTACATTGTAAGCACATATGGAAATGTCACAATGAATCCTCCCTAATACAATTAATATATGCTAATAAAATGTTTTAAAAATTATATCCATTATTATATCATTTTAAATATACTGAATATTATAAATACATATTTTAGTATAATCAGTTTTGTTTAGAACTATATGTGCTGTATTTCACACATTTATCAACCTTCTGAGCATGCCCAAAAAAAGGAACCCTGATCTATGGCAATCATGCCAAATTCCATGACTTTTGCTAGTGAACAGTTTAGAAATAAGCATGTGGCCAGTAAGACATGAAAGGAAGTTCACTTTGAAAGAGGATGGCACACATCTGAGAAACATTTCTTCATGAATAAATAAGTATGTAGCTCCAGGCAACCATAAAAATAATTTGGGAAGAACTGATACTGAGGAAAAGAGAAAATTTGTTGATGATGTCACTAAGTTACTGAGCATGTTGTGTCTAGAGCCAACAAATACTCAAAAAAACTAATATAAACTACAAGTTTACATAGCTGACTATAATGCATTGTGATTTGGTTTTATTTAAAATCCACATACATTACAAATTCATTAACTATTGACTGGAGGAATGAAACAATCTATTTAACATTCCAATTAAAGAGTTTTGAGAAGCTATGATACCAAAGAATCATTAATACCAATTCTCATTATAGAATAGGATATATGTAGAAGTCCCAAGAGATTAAGATAAAAATCTACCTAAATTGAGCTAATTTGTACATATTCAGGTATCAAATTTTTGTCATATGCTACTCTATCTAACAAACACAAACTATAGAAAAAAAATTCCAGCTATACAAAGTTTGCATCAAGAACTGACTTATTAACACTAAACACAATGAAATAGCAATGTCTTCAAGTTACTTACATCATCAGTGATACAAAGATATACAATCCTGTCTTGGCAGATGTAATGAAACAAGTAACTGTGGAACAGAAGATACAAAACTTACTGTGGTTATAAGCAATACCTCTTTCACTTCTACCCTCTATCTATGTATAAGCAAGTTCAGTACTGCATATTATTTATAAATACAATCCATTCTTGTCCTCCTCTCCCTCATACACATGTTTCTATCAAGTTAAACTGATAGAAATTAACAAGAAATTAAAAGAAATTCTCTAACCTAGCTACGTAGTACAAAAGCATAACCCTAACCCATTAAAATGACAGCTGCTAAAGCATAATTAGACTCTTAAATCCTGAACAAGAGAAGGCATCTTAGAAGAGAAACACAATTAAAATTAATCCCCAATGGGCCACATAGTTTTCTTTGCTTTTCCTAAGATTGCAAAGCAAATACCTTTTCTACCAAATTCTCAACAATAACATTTGAGTATCTACATTGATCCAGTTACTGTGCTAGATACTGAGGATACACAAATGTAAAACCATCAGTCCCTGCCTTGCCGGGGATCACAGTGCAAGTAATTATAGTACAACATGGCAAACAGGATGATGAGGAAGCTAAAGGCAGTATGTGGTGCTGTGGGGACATAGAGGAGACAGGTAATAGAGAATTATGAAAGAGTTAATAGAGAATTATGAAAGAGTTAATAGAGAATTATGAAAGAGTAACAGAAAAGGCTTCCTGGAAAAAGTGATGCTTGGTCTGACATCTGAAGAATAAGTAAGAGATGGCAATGCAGAGTCAGCAAAGAGTGTTCTACAGTAAGTAACCAGTAAGCATATGGGCCTGGTGATAAAAAGAGCAAATAATGGATATAGAAAAGTAATCTCCATTTACAAAACTAGAGTACAGAATGTGCAGAAAAAATTAACTGCCTGCGCAGATGACACTGGAGAAGTAAGCAGATATCAGGTTATACAAGATTTTAAAAACCACATTGTACACTGTCCTGAGAACAATGAACAAGCTTTAAAAGGTTTTACCCTGGGGGAGAACATTATCAGATCTGGTAATGATTCTCAAAATTTAGATATAAGACTTATTTCCTAAGCTTTAGTCCTGCATATGCTACTGTCCATTAGACATATCCAACTGGACATACCAATTAAACCTAACAGGTCCAAATAGAAGTCATCATTTCCCTATAAGATTAATTTCTCTTAAACCAGACTTAAAAGTTATTTGATACACAAGCTACAGAAAATATCAAGGTATGATCCCTACCATCAGGGAGTCTACAGTCAGGGGACAGACATAATCAATAGTGCAGTTATAATACAGTGTGACAAGTGCTACAATATGAACAAATACTAAATGATATGTAGATACACCAAAGGGGGTACCTAACTAAGTCCTGGCATTTAGGATTTTCTAAAAAAGGAAATATCTAAGCCTGGGAAGAAAAAATCAAGTTTTAAAAAACTTAAGTATAATAAATATATTCCAACAAAAGGCAAGAACTATTGCAAAGACTAGGAAGAGAGAAATACCTAGCAGTGAACCGTAAGTTGCTAAGTACGGCTGAAGAACAAAACCAAGGACTATAGTACTGAAACACAAGGGAAAGGGGAGCTAGAAGAGAAAGGGATTGAAAAACTTCTTGTAGGAGAATGGCAAGGATCTGGTGAAGAAGCCAAATATAATTCTGAAGTTTTAGGCTTAGCCAGTTGAGTGGCCAGTGGTGCTGTTAAAGAAGAAAGGAATAGCAAGAACAGATTTCAAAGGAAAAGTTTTCAACATAAGTAAAATGGTCTTTCTTCTTTTGGTGTACAGTAATAAAAGACATTTTATTGAAATTGATGAAACATGATGACAGGACAAAAACCAAGGTAGAAGGTTAAAAAGAAAAAAATCTTAGTGATACAGTCTCACTCTGTATGATACAGGGGAGGACTAGATTAGGACCCAGGTGGAGAAGCACAGCAGACAGATAACACTTTCTTTTACCAAAATTGACTTCGTAATTATTCTAGCCTTCCTTGTAGCTAGATGAAACTATGTTACTAAATTCTACCTCATAAAATATGAGTGGAAGATATATTTTCTTCCTTCCTCTGAAAGAATACCATGTTTTTCCTGACCATTTTCCTAGGAACTAACTAGAAACACACAAAGTAAGCCTAAAAAATTCTTGAAGAGACAGATTATTTACCCCTATAGCAATTTTTGGGGCCCAAAAACACATTATAGAAAACAGACTATAAAATCTACACAGTTTCCACAGATGCTATATTCTATAACACCCATTTTGGATGTAGCCCAAAAGGATAAAGGACCAGGAAAAACCTCCTGTAGAACAAGGGCAGGAGTCAAGGAGAAAAGATGAGGGAGTTTCTCCAAGACAGCAGAACCACTGACCATTCCTTAGTAAGAACAGAATCTTTGAAATCGTTGTGACTTCTGTATGTTTCTTGTTCTTCCCTTTTCCAAATGAGAGTTTCTAACTCTTACTCTGGTGATACTGTTCTTATTTCACTATTGTTTATAGGGTTGGACTGAAGGAGAAGGGGAAACATATGACTTGTCATTTAGTTTATGTTTAGTGCAGAACATAAAACTGCAAGTCATCCCCCTGATATTCTATAAATTCCTCCAGAGTAACAGAGTTTTACTTAAGCATATGACCATACAGCCAGAGATGAAATTTTCTAGCCCCTTTTCTAGCTAGGTTAGCCACATGACTACACAGTAAACAATAAAATGTAAGCAGAAATTTCTGAAATGATAAAATGTTCAGTCCACTTCTGGGCCTTGCCTTTAAAAATACTAGGCAAACACTGGGATGTAACAAGAACTGAAAGAATGTGCCTTAGCCAAAGTTGGAAAACACTAATTGAAAATGGTAGAGCCACCCCACAGGCTCTGAACCATTCATATCTGGGCTCTCTCATTTACATTCTCCAACTTGGAGTCTTCCTCAGAGTAGCTTAGACTAAATTGTAAAAGGGATTAGCCCTAAAAAGTAATAAGGATCTCCTGAGATAAGAACTAAGGAAATAAGGATTGGTTAGGTAACAAAAGATTTTTAAGCATCAATGAGGAAGGTTGAGGCATTGTTAATAGGATTACTAAGATTTCCTATCTGCGATCTTTCCAATAAGCCATAAGAGTGATTTTTCTAAAGCAAAAGGTATTACACCCTAAAACTTTGAATGCCTTCCCACTGCCCACAGGGTAAAGTCCAAACTTTAACATGCCTTATAAGGACCTACATGAGTTTTCTGCTACTTATCCTTCTAGCATTATCTTCACCATCTGGAGTAACAGTCACAAAGAACAACATAGAGTTCCTTAAATATTATTGCATGCCTTAATTAATTCTCTACCTACTGTTCTTCTATCTATTCAACTACCCACCGACCCACTAACTCCCACCCTCTACTATACTTATCAATGGATTTGACTGCTTCCTTTGTTAACCTATAATCTCTGAGGGCAAAATGCTACATTTCTTGTTATGTCACCATCACCAAGCAACATGCCTAGTAATAGCTAATACTTAGTGAAAGAAGGAACAAAAGAATATTATTATATTATCAGTATCATTTCACATATCCCAGAACTCCATAGTAATTTTTATATCTAACATTTCCATAATATCACTTCGATGATAGAATAAAATAATCACAAGTTAAGTTTATAAGTAATAAAACCAGACATTTTCTAAGATGGTGAAGGTTACTTTTCTGTCAGCTTATTCAGAAACTAGAAACAAACTAGAAGCTTGTTTTCTAGTTATCTGCTGTTCTAATTACAACAGAATTCCTTTCTTCCCTCTACCACATGCAGAGAAGAACTCACTTGCCATGTGAGTACGTTAGTTTGTTATTTTCAGAAGGTATCTTAGCCAGAATCTGCTCTGTCACCTCCAGGAAGTTTCCTCCACACCAAGCATGTTTGGCAAGAATAGTGGTTCCCCTGGCAACAACGGCAAAAAGAATGGCCATGGCTTCGATCTATTATAAGGAAAAAAACACACAGATTTTAGAATATTTCTTTGACACGATCTTTCAAAAGTAACTATCATTTATCAACATCCACCTTAAGATATAAAGTATTGAACAGAACACTATAACATGAAAATTAATAAAAGGAGCTGGTAGCATAACTCAGTGGCAGAAAGTGTGCTTAGTATCCATGAGGCCCTGGATTTGATCCCCAGCACCAAGGGGGAAAGGAAGTACGACAAGGTCACTCACAGTTTTCTAGAAGCTTACAACCTAAGCCACACTGACACTCATTAACAGTGATAGACAGGTTGCATATATAAGTTATGCAGCACAAACTAATATCATTTTGAAAAGCAATAACGATAGATAGCAAAGAGATCCGGAGAATTTATCATAGGAAAACAGTTTAACAGAAATTAGACTCTAGATTCAAAAAGACAGCTATCACCAATAACAATAGCCCATATTTATTAAGTACTCATTATGTGACAGATACCAACTTAAGTATTTAAGAATTATTAACTCATTTAATCCTCATAACTGAATGAGATTATACACTATGATGGCATGCTTATTATATATAAGGAAACTGAGACACAGATAACTAATTTCCCACAAATTACAGAGCTAATAACAGAGATGCAATTTAAACCCAGGCAGTATGATTTGATTATAGAATCTGATCGTGCCTATATAGTACACTACTTAAAGATGGGGTAAATCTAACTAAGATACATTGTAAGCACATATGTAAATACCACAAGGTATCCCCCTGTACACCTATTATATGCTAATATTTTTTAAAAAGACATTCTCTGTAATAGAAACAAAGTGAAAGTAACCCCATTTTATAAATTATGATAGTAATATCTGTCATAAAGCATTAATAAAACTATATGGAATGAGTTTAAGATTATTTTTCTTATGTTTGGCTGTGAATATGTACTATTTTTTTCATGTCACAGATCAGTTTCCCTTATTTAATGGCATGAACTTACACAGATGAACAGATAAAATTCTTCAACCTAATATTATTTGTTAGAATGCTCATTTTCACCCAATACACCAGTGGTTCTAAAACTGTATTCAGAATACAAATCTTCTTGGGTACCAGAATGACCATCACTCACTAAAAATTCAAATTCTTGCCATAATCTCCTAAAATTCTGATTCTGTAAGCCTGAGGTGGAGGAGCCCACTGCTTGGAGTCAAGGAGACATACAGTAAAGTAAAACAAAAAGACCAAGAGAAACAGAGATAAGAAATCCTATAGAACCTCACTTCTTGGCCTTTTGGATAAGATCAAGTGTAGAATCTGTTCTTATCAGTTAATATCTGAAATATTCTCTATCCAAGGACAATCTATTAGATGGATTTTTGGAGCAGGGAGATGGAATAGGAGCTTGCTCTATCCACTCCATGCATCAACCTGGTATTGCAGTACCACCAGGACTGGTACACCCTTTCAAGGGACTTTAAAAAAAGAAATCATATGGTCCCCAGACAGAAAGATGAAAAAGTAGCAGCTTCAGTCCCTGTGCAGCTTCAGAAGAACACAGTTTTGCAACAAAAAATGATCTATTGTTTTAGTGGATCATAAATTCATAATTAATTATGAATCAACATGAGGTAATTGCTTAAAATGTTTACGTACACTTAAATTACAGTAAGAAATAGGGTGCCTTGATCTCTTTAAATACTGTTGCCATTAAACTATGTGCTGGTTAGACTGAATTCAGTTCTCAGTATCTCAAGATTGGGCAGAAAGGAGACAGTACGGCTGAAAGACCTGGAGACTGTGTTATCTCAAGAATGGCTGGGGCAATCCCACTCCTGGGGATATACCTAAAGGAATGCAACACAGGTTACTCCAGAGGCACCTGCACACCCATGTTTATTGCAGCACTATTCACAATAGCCAAGTTATGGAAACAATCAAGATGCCCCACTACTGATGAATGGATCAAGAAAATGTGGTATTTATACACAATGGAATTTTACTCAGCCATGAAGAAGAATGAAATCTTATCACTCGCAAGTAAATGGATGGAACTGGAGAACATCATTCTAGCGAGGTTAGCCAGGCTCAGAATCGTATGTTCTCCCTCATATGCGGACTTTAGATCTAGGGCAAATGCGGCAATGTGGTTGGACTTGGATCACATGACAAGGGGAGAGCACATAAGGGAGATATAGGAATAGGTAGAAAACCCAAAACATGAAAGTGTTTGATGTCCCCACTCCAGAGGAACTAATACAGAAACCTTAAAGCAACAGAGGTTAACATGAGAAGGGGATCAGTAACCAGTGTAAAGATCAGTTAGAGATGAATCAACATGGATTGTAACACACATATACATGAAAGCAATGCTAGGAATATTTCTGCATAGCTATCCTTAACTCAACTAGCAAAAACACTTTGTCTTCCTTATTATGCTTATGTCTTTTCTTGCACAAAATTAGAGATAAGGGCAGAACAGGTTCTGTCTGGAAGTGAGGGGGGAGGGGGCGAGAAGGTGGGGGATGGGGTCAGGGGGAGAAATGACCCAAACAATGTATGCACATGTGAATAAATGAATAATAATAATAAAGAACGGCTGGGGGAACTAGAGAATCTAACATGAAAAAGAAAAGGGAATATGGCAGCAATTTTTAAGTTTATATACAGTATTGTCACCTGGAATATGAGTTAAACAAGGACAAACAGATATAAGTTACAGAGATGCAGAAATGGTTTATTTTTCAATACAGGTAGTCCCTAATTAAAAATCACTGACTCTTCAACACTGAGTACACAGCAGCAGAAATTTAACTTTCTTTCCAGATGTCACTAGTAAGAATTTCTTCCTCTGTCCTATACTGCTAAAAACCCCATCTATAATCAAGTCTCACCTGCCCCAACTGTAACTTTTTTGCAGTTAAATACGTAATAACATGATGACTATTGGGATAACAAAAACAACTGTGGCAGAAAGAACACTATTTGAACTCAGAAAACCTGGCTCTGCTAATTTTTAGCAGTATGCCCGTACCTAATAAACCACATAATGCTATGAAAGTATAATATTCATAAAGAAAAAGAATGAAAACATGCCAGAAAGAGAAGCAAAAGAGATAGTGGAATAAAAAAGAAAAAAGAAAGCCCTATCTCAATACTATTCCTCCCCCATTTCCTATTTGGTTCAAGAGCCATCATCTTAATTCTGCTTCATTCCTGCTAAGAATCCTGTATTGGTTATCCTGTTGGCTGCAGGAACAAACCCAAAACCAGGTGGTTTAGAACAACAAAAATGTATCATCTCACAGTTCTAAAGGCCAGAAGTCCAAAATCAAGGTGTTGGTAGGGCCACAGTTCTCTGAAATCTGTAAGGGAGAATCTTTGTCTCTTCCTAGTTTCTGGTAGTTTGCTATTCTTTGTGTTCCTTGGCTTGCAGCTATAGCTCTTCAATCTGACTCTATAGTCACATGGTATTCTCTTTGTGTATTTGTGTCTTCCTATAACATTCTATGTCTCTTCTTTTATGACACCACTCATATTGGATCAAGGGTCCACTCTACTCCAGTACGACCTCGTTCTAACTTTAATTACATATGCAAAGACCCTAATAAGGCCCCATTCATAGGTATCAGGAGTCAGGACTTCAATATAGCTTTTTGGAGAACCCAATTCACTGTACAATGAACCCCCATTTTAGAAACTGTTCCTCCCAAATCAGTCCTACTCTCCCTTCTCCCATATAATTCACATCACTCCAACTTCCCTTGCTCTCTTCCCAAAACCTCTCATCAATCTTTTTCCTCATATTACAGGCCTCTCCTTAGAACTATGGGCCAGAAAGGCAACCTGAAATAGTTTGGAGTTGGAAAAGCCTATTCCTACTGTATTAAGTTTCCAAGTAAAAGATATTTTTGCTCCAGTTGCCAAGATTCTCTGAAAGATATGTGGTCAGTGAACCCAAATGAGAACGCTAGACACACTTTATGGAGGGAGTATGGGGAAAGATCTTGGAGTCCACTAAATTAAAAGTTAATAAAAAGCTGCTGATTGGCATAACAACCAAAATGTCATGGTATAGCATTCTTTATTCAGCAATAAGCTTACAAAGAAACTTTCAGAATATATCCATTTGTAAGAGATTACCTATATAAAAAAGTTAGTAACAAAATAGCACAGCAACAATGCAAATGCTCCTCCTCATTAGAAGCATTTTTAAGTAGAGGTTGAAAATAGTTTCAGGGGAGTAGGAAAAACACCAAATCAATGTCCCTCACACTCAAGTCCATGTGTTTTGAGAAGTTTTTAATTGTGTTTTTTATTGTGATAACATTAAAAATGTGTAAGATTATTCTGGATTGTCTACATGTATACTTTACAAGCAATCAAAGGCATAAAATTCAGTGCTATATTTGCAATCATGTTTATAAATGCATAGGTAACAAGAAATTCCCCAAACTGACAGTGTTTAATTTTTAATGCCTTGGAAGCATATCTACTTGATCTTAGGCTGGCACATCCTAAAATCATAATGACAATCATGACTCAAACACTCTCACATTCCTTTATTTTTAATAAGTTTAAAGACAAAATTTGTCCTTGGTAGTAATAATTTAAAATTGAAAGGTACCTACATAGAATAGACTTTAAGAGCTGAGAATCTTATCTAACATTATGAAAATTATAGTGCAGCAGAACAAATTAATATTTCAGGCAGGAGAAAATGCTACTCAAAGATGTATTTGTAGCAAGTGGAAACCAAATGGTATCATAATGTGTGGTATGAACAAAGGTTGTGCAACTATTCAAAGAAGTGGAAGCATTTAACTCATACAGCACAGTGATAGTTAATACAAAATAAAAAAGAACACATTTCTATTACTGAACGTGAATGGATTATGTTAATTCTTGCAATAGTTTATTGCATAATGTTTCAAAGGACAGACACACAACAGATATTCTTCCACCCATACATCTTGAGCATACTATTAATTGACCTGTTGAACTAAGGGGGTGCACAAATGCTGAGGAAATAGGAAGTCATTGTATGAGGGAAGTATGGAAAAATAGAAGACACAAGAGATGAGAGCAAACTAAGATGGGTAAATAAACTACCCTGATATATGACTTAAGTCACTTGAATTTGTTCAAAGAGAAAGTCTATTTCAGTTAAAAACATACATACTGAGGATTTACTTTATGACAGCCAAAGTAGTAGACACTGGAGATATGAAGTTGAGGAAGAAGGGACTTCTATACTCAAGGGAGCCATGGTACAATGGGAGAGAGACAAAAGCAAATACAAGTAAGGTGTAATGAATGAATACTCTAAGAATGTCCACAATTATTCAGATTTCTTAAAATTCTGTAATTGTCTCACCTTGGATGAAGGAAGGAATGTAGGTTTCATTCCTACATTTGCAATTTCCTCAGTATATTGTTAGTATTATTTCTCTCTGGAAGAGAGTTCAAAAGTGTTTGGTTTGCCCTCATTATTTTCCCAGTGCTCCATAAAGTACCTAGCATGTAATATCCCTCAACTATTTGTTGAATAAACAAGTGAATATTGAATGCATTTTGGTTATAAATATACTACAAATGGTACATAACTTTATCTTTAGTCGTACCTGGCAAGAAGAATATTTTCACTACTAAACACTCTCACATTCAAATAAGGCAGTTGAGCTGATCAAAATCAAATCCCCAACTCTGCCTGGGATCTTAGGAGGAACTAAACCAATGACAGATAAAATACTAATTCTGATGCAATGACCTTGGAGGAGACAGAAAAAAAAATGAAGAACATTGCTATGACAGGAGAAAAGAACAGGTTACAGATCAAGATTATTCTTGTTGATACCACAAACATTTTTTCTGATCAATTCTTGAAACCCCACCCAATCCCTCTGAATTTCTCAGGATAGGGTTCTATCCTGTCAATTCAACTATCTTTTTTGTATTTTGCATTAACCAACACATACCATCACATTGATGATTTGTTTATCCCTGCTCCTCAAACATGTAACTTCCTGACAGTAGTGACCTCCATGTCTTATTTACAGGTAGCACTTCCTCTGCACTTAGAAGAGTGTGTAGTACATATTAGGTGTTCAATAAATATTTGTTAAACATATGAATGGATCTGCTCCCAACCAAGGGAAAAAATGTTCCAAACATGACAGTATCCTCTGGGATCAAAAGTGGGAGGCTGGTGTACAGGTAGTTGAGAACAATTAATAAGATAGAACGAAAAGGACTTGATAATTGATTGGATCGTTGGGGTTATGGGAGACAGAGACATAAAGTATTTATCGAAGAGTCAAGTACACGATCAATTTGATCGATACTGGCCATCAATAAAAATAACACGCAGGCCTGACACTGAAAAAATAGGTCTGAATGGAGGTAACAGTTCCCCCTAGAACTCAAGAGAAAGAAGAATGTCAATACTGGGAGGTGAAAAAAGGGCGTATAAGGGATTAGGAACTCACAAAAGAGCACGAGCCCTCAGAAGTACATAAAGCAGAAAGTGACGTCACTGGGTAAGCGCACAGACTTTTTAGAAGACTCTGCTATCTGGAGAGATTCAAAAGCCATGGAAAGGTCTCGCAAAACGCGAATGAGGGAAAGTTAATATTTCCCCATCCTGTAATGACAACTTAACTGACGCGTTCTGACAACAATTCGAGGCCTTTTCAGCGGCATAAAACGCATTTCTTCAAAACTGGACCTGGCTCGACAACTGGAACTGTCGACACCAAAGAAACCCAAGTCACCCTTGCACTGCCTCCACCCCAGCACCTTCTAGTCTACACCTCCGCCCTCCCTCCACCGCCGTTTCGTCGCCTCCCGCAGAGAACGCCCCACTCCATTTACCTGTCCGGGCACCCTCTGAGGGCACACGGGCTCGTGACCAAGGGTCGCGGGTCGGCCCAGGGTCGCCCACTGCCCGCACCCAGAGAAGGATGGAACCGGACGCCGCTGACTTCCGCGTAAAGCGCCTCCGCCTACGCGTGGCCTCCTGGGAGTGTGAGCACTCCTCCAATGGGAGCAGACGGTAGGGCGGGATCTGCACTTTCTCAACCCCTGTTACGACACTGAAGCATACTGCATTATGGGTGTGGTAGTTCCGACTTCAGTTTTTCCCCTCCCGTCACAGGTTAGGTCAACTCCCTTTGTAAACAACGTCAAATGCTGTAGAAGGTTCGGGGGGAAATCAGGATGCAAGGAATCTACCAGTATTGAGTCTGCAGGATAAAAAAAGAGTTGAACTTTCTCTGTCATCTCCCCGCTTAGTCTCAGCAGGTAACGTCGCGTGTTACTTTACAGACAAAACAGAATTCATCTGACAGGAAGCCCCTCTACTTTCGCCATGAAAAATTCGAACTTCCTGTACCCCTCACCATCATTTCCCCCATTCTTTTTCAATAACAATAGTAATAATAAACAACTACTCTCCTTTGATCTAAACCCGGCCCCTTACATCCCTATTCCTTCTTATCAAACCAGTCTAGCTCCTCTGCTGAATTCATCTTTCTTATCAATTGGGCTCCCTGCTTACTTGCTCTTTTATTTTCAGCGCTTAAAGACTGTCAAAATTTCTCATCTAAAACATTCCAAAGTCGCATTTCTCAACCCCACACTCTAAACTTCCTCACTGCACATGGACAAGCTAGCAGTCATTCCCCACTTCTCCATTCCATCTCAAAACTATTGCTAAAACAGTTCAGCCATTACCATACTTCAACTCTGCAAGATTTTACTTTGATATTCCCTTCTTTTTTGAAACCCTTAATTTTTCAAAGTTTCTCCCAAGACACTATATTCTCCAACTTTTCCTTCTGCCTCCGTGGCAGCTCATTTTCCTTTGAAATGTTCTTGTTCAAAGGCTCTGCCCTATGCTCCCTTGTTTTCTTATTCTTCAAACACTTCCTGGTGATATTAACCATCCCCATTGCTTTGGCTGTCATCTCACATATAGGAAGCCCAGACCAAACTCCTGTAATCCAGAGTCAACTATTTTATGATAACTGGACATCTTTTTCAGGCACCTAAAACTTAAAGGAGTTCCCAATTAACCCAATACATTTCTACTCTCCCCTCCCCTATAAACTCACTTTTCCATCTCCTCTAAATCCCATCTCAATGAATGGCACAACCATCCAGTCAGTTGCCCACACTAGAAACTTGGCATCATTTTGAAAGCTTATATTCCTTCGAAGCTCACAGGTAGACAACGAGCATTCCATATTATTTGTATCTCCTAAATATTTCATCTCACCAAACTTCAGTTTTCTCATCTTTAAAATGAGGATAATCATATTAACTGCCTTCAAGGATTTTTGCAATGATTAATGAGCAATAATGACAAGCAAATAATAAGCATTCAGGGACAATTATTGAGCAAGCATTATGTTTGTCATTAGTTCTCCTTCATTAGATATTCATTAGATCATAATGAATCATTTACTATTATTTAATTTCTTTAGACAAAAAGAAAGGGAAAATAACAAATGGTGCGGTAATTTGTGCAAGTTGCTCCTTTTGATTCCTCAGTGTGTTTCTAAGCATAACAAGAATATAGTACTGGTCATAAGGCACTTTAATAAATGGTCCTACTCTAATATGTGCAGGGTTTACCATATAATGATTATTGCATTCAGCTTTGGATGGGCTATCTCCTTGGAAATTCAAGACCCTTCATTATATGGTCTTTATCTACTTCTCCTACTAACTCTAAGGAACCCTAACCCTGCTTCTTCCACCACACACACTACATTCTTCCACCACACACAAGCCTGCTCCTATGTGGTGGCTGTTCATTTTTTATCAACTTGATTGTGCCACAGAAATTCCAGATTAAGCATTATTTCTGAGTGTGTTTATCAGAGTATTTTGGGATAATATTAGCATCTGAGTCAGTGGACTCAGTGAAGTAGGTTTCCCTCCCTTGTGTGAATGGCCATCATCCAGCCCATTGAAGGCCTGAATAGAACAAAAGGAAATGTAAGGATGAATTTGCCCCCCTTTTCCTGCCTCACTGCTTGAGTTGGGTATTTCATCTCATATTCTACACCCAGAGTGGGGATTTTACATCAGTGGCTACCCTGTTTCTCACGTATTCAGAATCAGACTGAATTACAGTGCTTCCCCAGGATATCAGCTTGCAGATGATAGATTGTGAGACTTCTCAGCCTGTATAAACATTTGAGTTGATTCTTCAGAGAGCTTTATGACATGTCCTATTACTTGTCTTTCTATTCCTCTTTTTAAATATTCTCTCCTAAAGTAATATCCACGATCCAAAATTTGTATTTCTAGCACAAGCCCATGTATCTAGCACAACTAAGAAAGGCCTTGATTATATCTTGTTATATCTTCAGAGAGAACTTTTAAGCTGAAACCTGAAGGCTAAAAAGAAATCAATCACAAGAAGATAAGAGGGAAGATTAAATGAGGCTAGTGTAACAGAAGCATATTGGAAGTTAGGGGAGAGGGGAAGGAGAGGAGATCACACTGGTCTTTCTACCCCTCAAATTTATCAAGCTTCTTCCTGCATTACAATCTTCACATCAGCACTCTATGTTTGGAATTGTATTCCCTCTTGCTTTCTTGTGGTCAGGGGTTGTTGTGAAATAGTGTAATCCATAAAAAGAAACTTGGATTTTATTTTAAATGTAACGAGAAATTACAGAGGTTCAAACAAAAGTAATGACTAATGATGTTTCTAAAAACAGCAATGATATCAACTTTCATACAAAGGGTTAATTAAGCTGTCTCAATGAGCAAATAAAAACTAAGGAATATCCATGAGTTTGAGGTAGATGCTGGTATCAGGTATTGAATGATTATGTTTAAGAGATTAAAAAAGAAACAAAGAAACTAAAGGAAAGAAAGTGCTGATTTGAAATTATCTGCCTTTAAAATTTGGATGGAAAATTAAGAATACTTCCAATTCAAAGTTCTAAGCATCAAATCCAGGTATTTCCTGTCTACTGGTTCTCTAATTTGATGTAAAGAATCCATATTCTGATGGAATAGCAAACCACAAAACTGGTGTCCCCATGAAAGAAGCCTGTAACTTGACTTTAGTTTTTTCCACCTTGGCTCATTTTCACTTACGGATTTTGACTAAAAAGCTTTCAATATTTAATCAACTATTTATTGTTCGAAGGAGCTGGTACTGTCTTTCCGTGCATAAGCTGATCTTGTTCATCAATCACTTTTCTGAGAAAATAAGCAGGACATGTTGCCATGCCTCACTCTTTCTTGACAAGGATAAAGATGCTCATATAAATTATCACAAAGTTACCGTAATATAGCCTAGCAAGGCCATGATTGTCCAATTTAAAACAGACCAACCATGTTCTCACTTTGAGGTTTTACATCAGCTCTATACTCTGCATTGACTGCAAATCCTCCAGACCTGAGCCCATGTTTTTCTTGTCATTCATGTTCAAGCTTACATGGCCACTTCTCAGATTTTCTTGTCATTCATGGCTCCTCCTCAGATGGACTTTCCCTGTCACTGGCTTCTCATTAGCCGTACTTTGTATATTTTCTTTTTTATACAAACTTTATAGTTACCAAAATAATTTTTCATTGTTTATTTGCTCATTGTCTGTTTACCCCACTACAATACAAATTCCATATAGGCAAGAACATTTTTATTCCTGTTCACCACTTTTATCTCCTCAAGGTAGCATACCTCAAGGTAGCACAGAGCTTGTGCTCAATTACACTTTGTTGAAAGAATGCATACTAATGACAAGATCTAATATTTGTTCCATAAAAAATAGAATCTAACATTGATATATGTTACTGCATTTAATCATTATAGCTCCAGCTATAATATGTCTGCCTCTTCAATCTTTGCTCTCTCCAATGCATTTCCAATGTTTTTTTTCCTCCTACTACCATCCTCTATTTTATTTCAAATCTGTGTCCATGGTGGCTCGCTGTAAAGAAAATAACAAAAGCTTCAGGTAGCTTGCATATAAAAGTAATGATTTTTGTGTTAAGTTTTAGAGTGAGTGTTTGAAAGTTGTGAGGCCATGTATAATGGAAATGAAATCAGGATATGCAATTTTTAAAATTTGCCCATCTTACTTCCTACTACAAAATTGTTGCAGTGTTTGGGGTGCCATGTAAAGTTGTAGCTGGAATTCATTCACATACATCCCTAGATGCACAGGATCACTACATTGACGATTACTACATCCTCCACACAAAGGTGTGCAGGTAACTTTAATGAGAAATACTTTTGTAAGAGTGTCACTGGAGAGGGGTTGAAGAGGATCTCAATGAGGGAGCGATCATCTGCTCATCACTCTGTCCCCCAGTTCTGGACTCTTAAATCTATCAGTGAAGATAATTTCAAGATGATTCACAAAATAGAAGGTGGGCAAAGATTTTGTTACACAAGACAGCAGCAAGCAGAATAAGAAAAGGGGAATGCACACAAAACAAGTGCCTGGAGTGTGGGCATTAGGGATGCAATTTGTGGTTCTTCCATTGTGGTAAATTGTATTAGCTAAAGTAGATTAGGGAACCTAGCTTTAATTTTCCTTAAGTACTAGGTACCTGGCCATATTCATCATCTTGTTGCAATGGTTCGTCATTATTACCTGAGCATGGAGACCTTGGGTCCAGAGTGATCTTACCAATCAAAAGTTCTTATGATATGGGTGTCCATTTCTGGGCACTGTTCTGATCAAAAGAATTGCCGTATCAGTCATTTTCATTCCTAGGGTGCATTATTCATCTGGGACAAGGTCAGAGAAATTGCTTTTATTATACTTAATGGAGAAATGGGAAGTCATGGATTGTGGAATGCTGAGAAAAGCCCAAGCTGACTTCACAGTTGAACTATATCTTAATAGATGAGTGAGGTAGAGATATAAAAAGGAAAAAGTTACTGCTTAAATAATAAATCCACAGAAGAGACCTCTTTTACTGAGGCATCGTGTGCCAGGAAATATGCTAACTAGCAGAGATGCAGTGCT